AGTAAATGTATTTGAATAAAAGTATTCAAATACTTTCATTGGTATTGAATAGTATTTTTAAATACATTTAATAAAAAGTATCTGAGTAGTATTTTAAATACAATTATTTAGTATTTAATACTGTTTAATATTCAGTACTATTAATATACTTAATATGTACTTTTTTTTTTTAATTTGCTAACCGTAACACAGCAAGCAAATTAAACTCAGTCAAAATGAAAATTGAGAATAATTCTCTGTTATTTTATATGTTACATTATAGTATAACATAATTATTGTGCTTATCTAAATGCTATTATGTATACATCTATTTTTAATATATCAGTTGAACCTACAATAGCCTATTGCAGGTTCAAATGATTTACTCTATTGTCAATAAGACATACTTTACAGGTTTTTACACGTGTACTAATATTTATTTTTTTCACTGATTAGTCTCCAATAATTTTACCTCTAACAAAAAATATCGAAAATAATAAATGAGTTCTCTTAATTTAAGAGTACTCAATATTTGACTCAAATTACCCTCTTGGTAATTATTTAGGTGGAACCTATTGCTCTTAGTTAAAATAAAAACATTATTATTATTTTTTAATTGTATTCTTAGTATTTGAAATACTTTTGTAAAGTAATTGAGTATTACTCAAATACTTTTGTATGAAAAGTATTCAAATAGTATTTTAAATACATTTTTTTTTAAATATTTGAGTATTATTTAAAATACTTTTTAAAAGTATTTTTTACAACTATGGATACAGGTCAATTATTATACAATTTATAATATACACAAATTAAATATACAGAATCAGAATTTAGGAATACAAGGAATATATTAGACAAATATAAAATTTATAGTTACAATAATATTAAAAATAAGAATATTATTATAAACCTAAAATAAACTATTAAATGAAGACAAAATAAAGTCCGACGTTTTTTTTACCATAATAAAGTACATTACATTAGCTTTAATTTAAGATTATATAAAAGTGTCAGACTTTCCGTAACAATTTCAAAAGTTAAGTTGAAAAAGTTCTACTTTCTATATGCAAAAGTTATGGCAGTTTTATGTAAAAAAAGCCAGCACAGGGGGGTCGCGGCACAGTGGTGACATAGCATAGTTGGATCAAGTATAATGATACCTGACTGTGATTAAAATCACTATAAAAAACGGTAGCACAGTGGGGTCAAGGCACAGTGCGTATGATGCATAGATGGGACAAGTATAGATGATATCTATAAATGAAATAATTTTAATGATTTACTTTAACTAAAAAAAAAAAAGTTATCATTTTGAATCCTTCATGTAGGCAGGTAAAGGGTTAGATTTATAAAAAAAAATACTAGATGATAGGTAAAGACATGTATCTAANCAACATCAACTCTTATTTCTTTCATTATATCCTAATTAGTAGTTCTTTGATTTTAAAATAAAATATATGAATAAATACTAATTATAATTATTAAATTTAGTATGAAATTGATATTCAGTAATTTAATATTGTAATTTAAACGGAGAAATTATAAAAATAATAAAGAAGTTATATTTTGCTTTACTTTTACGTGTATAAAAATTTAAAGGGCTTGATACAATAATTTTCAATAAAAACTGTTTGTTACTATAAA